TCTACCGAGTGAGCCACAGGCCGGCCCCAGTCTCTCACTTTTTTATAAATAATTTGAATTGGTCTACTATTATTCTTTGGTATTCTGAAATAAAGATATTTGATAGAAGCAGACTAGCTGTATTTGTAATTATCCATAAAGACTCACATCTATGCCCGCATAATCCACAATGGTTGATCCACACAAAAGCAATCTAGATCACTGCCATCTATTACATATAGAGGCAGCCACCAGAATAGAAGGCCTAGCTCGTAGGAAGAAATAGGCTTACTGAGCCAAATTCACAAACTCAAACCTACAAAGTGAGGGAGAAACCTTAGAAATGGTTACTCTTCTCTGTGGTTACTCTCCCAATTTGCTTAAGCTTGGTTTTTCAATTATTATTTAATACATGTACCTTAATTGATCCAAGGGCCCCAATGGCTACTTCAGGGGGCAATATCACTGCTTTGGCATACGTACCACCAATCTATTTTTAAAAAAAGAAGGAAGGAAGAGTAGAAAAATTAAGACTTCAGGGAACAATGTCAAGTGGCATTTTATATTTTTAATTAAACACATGATCAGAAATCTTATGTATAGTTTATGAATTTGAACATTGTTACTACTCACTGATCCAATGTTGGAAAGAGTAAATGTTCCTCCTGTAAGATCAGTGGTGCTGAGCTGACCCACAGAGCCCAGTTTTTGGAGACGATTCAATTCAGAGGCAATCTCAAATAGAGAACAGATCTGAACGTTTTTCACATTGGGAACAATCAAACCCTGTTCAGTATCCATCGCTATCCCAATGTTATGAGAAGCCTAAAAAAATTTAAAAATTATATAGTAGGACTTTTAATAAATAAGCTAACAGCAAAGAAAGGATCAACCTTTACTGTCTTCTAAAAACAACCATCAGAAACTATTTTTACCAGATTTAAAACTATTTCTTTTAAATCACTGCCAAACAAGGCTTGAAAGATTGTTTTGAAAAAAGTAATTTTTTATTGGTAAGAATATAGTGCAACAGGCTATCTTTCTGCACCGTTAGTGGGAATGTATGCTGGTATAGAGTTTCTGGAGAACATTTGACAATACGTATCAACATTTATAAAAATTTGTGCTAAGGAGATAAATGCAAAAGTATGTAGGGATACACAGGGATGTTCAGTACAGATTATAAGTTTCAGAAACTGCAAACAATCAAAATGTTTATTAATACGCTATTGGCTAAATAAATGGTAACAAAGCTATATTTGTTGACATATAGTGATGCCCATAAGATAGTAAATGAATAAGAAAAAAAGCAAGTTAAAGAAAAATATGTATAAGTCCTCGTTTTTAAAAGAAGTACTTAATCAGGAAGTATTAAAATAAAAATAAATATAGCTGGCTGTATTAACCACATGGGAATATTTTAGATCTGACCCCCAAGATATCTAAGCTCACTTCCTGGTTGTATATTTCTAATGAGAAATGTACATAAGGATGGGCATCCCAAAGTGAGGTCTGTCTTAAGAAACTTTCACTCCAAACAGAAAAGCTCACTCAAACTGAATTCAAACTTTTATTACTTTTCTCATTTCAACGATTCTTGTTCTTAAAATTCCAAGAATTCAATTTTGATAGAGCTGCTTCTTTCTGAGAGGGTAAGTAGGGTGGGTAACATAATCCACCTCCTTATAGCTTTATATTTCCATGATTTTAAGCAGAAAACCAAAAGGGCTTAAAAATGGCAAACTGCCTATCTAAACAATAATACTATTAACAAGTAAAAACAACAATAACAAATTATACTTAAATTTAATGTTTTATCCTGTATCTTTAACTCTAATCTTAAAAAAGATCACTATTTGAAATACAATAGAAGTCTCTAATCTACAATCACATTTGCACCATCTTCTATTTATAAGAACATTTTCACAATGCATAGCCAACCTTATAAGTTATATTCTGGCAGTTTTCGTCCACAGAAGCATTAAGGATAGGAAACTGTAGTAATCCCAAGGAAGCAGCCTGTTTAACAGAAAGAGAATGCAACTTTAGCACTTCAAACTCAAAAGGGACAGGAAATTGGAAGCAATAAGAGGTGTAAAAGGACGGACGAAGAGAATTATTATTTACGCTGAGTTTAACTGCAGAAGTACATGCACCTAGACATACTACTTCTAATATCACTTTCAAGCCATGTGGAACAAGGTCACCCTAATCATTTACGAATAAAAGATGAAGTAGTCAGGTAGCTTGTAAACATCAAGGACGTTTCAAAGTAACCAAACTGACCAGAGTTCTGAAGAAAATGTCTAAATTCTAAGTGATTTCTTCACTTACCTGCAGAGTCTTAAGATTTCCATGAGAGGTAAACCTAGTGTGTTCAAAAACACACTAGGAATTAAATCACAAAAAGGTGGGTAAGCTACTTCCCTGTGTAGAAAGAATATGTACTAAGGATTTCAAAGTGCCCTGACCATTACAGGCCAATGTTCCACCTGGTGTCCTTGGCCAAGTGAAGGGCAAAGCTGGCATGAACATTTACTTTAAAGTCTAAGTCTCACCGAATCACATTATGTTTTACCTCTCTGCCTTCTCCCTTAATCTCTGCCCTTCTATTTTTCTTTTTTCTCTTAATACCATTTCTCTCCTGCTCATATTCAGATTTCCCTAACCATGCCCAAAATGTTCTTGACTACTGTTTTTCTGCCCATCCAAGATCTAAAAATCAAGGTTCACATACTACATTTGGTGATCATTTTAAACTAGGACTACCCCTCCTTGAATTAAAAAGGTGAAAAAATAAAAATGCTTAAGATTGTATTTAAAAAGAATTCCCTCCCCGACTCCCCTCATCTAATCCTATTAAGAGTTCTTTACATGCATTGTGTTAAGCGTTTTGTCTGTGGACCAGTGGTCTTGGCTGGGGAAAAAAAAAAAAAATCCTTGAACTAAAGAGTTAAGCAAAGAGTTTAGATATACATAGAACTTTTGTAGTGATTAATTTAATTAATACAGATTTAAAAAGTAGATCAATGGAAGGAAAATATAATGAAAAGATTTGCTACAAATTTCTCAATTTTTATGACCTGAAAGTTTTAGTAAGCATTTGATTTGACAACTGCAACTTTAATCTTTTTTATATAGAAACCCATTACTAAGGTCAATCTAAAGTGCTACACATGGGAAGCCTGGCTGGTTAGCTCAGTTGGTTAGAGCACAGTGTTACAACACCAAGGTCAAGGGTTCGGATTCCAGTACTGGCCAGTTGCCAAAAAAAAAAGGAGACAAAGTACTTACACATAAGAATAGTGTTTTTAGGGCCGGCCCATGGCTCACTCGGGAGAGTGTGGTGCTGATAACACCAAGGCCATGGGTTTGGAGCCCATATAGGGATGGCCAGTTAGCTCACTGGGTGAGCGTGGTGCTGACAACACCAAGTCAAGGGTTAAGATCCCCTTACCGGTCATCTTTTTTTTTTTATAGAAGAAAAAAAGAATAGTGTTTTTATTGGTGGGAGATAAAAATAAATAAATAAATTCACACACACACAAAAGAAAAAAAAAAACCAGGGGGGAGAAGAAGACATAACAATTACAATTCCTTGAAGTTGTTACAACAAGCAAACAGAAAGGACATTGTTGGGTGGGAGGGGGGAGAGGGAGGAGGGAGGGAGGTTTCGGTGATGGGACACAATAATCAACCACATTGTATATCGACAAAATAAAATTTAAAAAAAAAAGAATAGTGTTTTTAACATAATCCAAATTTTGTAAAAGAAAACACAAGATATGTGTCTGAGGACTAGGTCACTTTTTCCCTTGTATAATACTTTATAGTATTTTCCAAATGTTCTGAAACTTATATAAAATGTTGTTTGAAAACAAAGCATACTAAATTTTCTTTTCTTTTCTTTTTTTGTTTTTAAAATATGACCGGTAAGGGCATCTTAGATACCCTTGACATGGTGTTGTCAGCACCACGCTCTCCCAAGTGAGCTAACCGGCCATCCCTATATGGGATCCGAACCCATGGCCTTGGAGTTATCAGCACCGCACTCTCCCAAGTGAGCCACGGGCCGGCCCCTAAATTTTATTTTCCAAATAAAGATCAGATATTTCATTCAGACTGGAACGATGAAAAAAAACAGTAATAAAAGAAATTCAGGACATTAAAGGGCTAGTCTATCTTTGCTTCGAAGCTGACTTGCTGTCACCAGGAAACAGTAAGAGGAACCCAGTCAGAAACACAGAAGTGGTGCCCTCTTGCTCTTCACGATTAACTCCTCCACCACAGTCTTCATCTCATTCTTCCCTAATGCCAGGGCCTTGCTCCAACAGTCCTTCCCACTCATTATTTTTCACTTCCCATTCTCCAGCTCTCTCCCTCAGCCTACAAATCTGCTCAATTTTTCCATGACGATGTACAAGAGTGGAGGGAGCAGATGGAACCTTTCCTCAATCTCCTGCAAATAACCTCCTTAACTACCCTCTGTACTTATTGTCCTATCTGTCTTTCACCAGATTTTCTTAGTGTCCCTTCTTCTTCAAATCCTATTTATCACCCAACTGCAATCAAGCTTCTACCTCAATAATACTTTATCCCATCAGATCTGGTGGAGGCCACTCATGACTTCTTAACTACTAATCCAATAGCCTTTTCCTGTCCCTTATCCTATTGAATCTTTGTGATGCAATGTCCACTATGTACTCCCTTCTTAAAATTTTTCTCTTCTCTGTGAGAGGCTAAATCAATGGCCCCATCTTTCATGCCTCCCCAGTATCCCTGCTCTCTCAAGCTGACTCTGAGCTTAGTCCTGTGACTTGCTTTGATCAATGAGACACAAACATGATGCAGCAGCGCTTGGAGAAAAGGGCTTGAGCATTTCTGCTTCCTCTCTTCATCCCTGCCAGTACAATGCAACCGTGTGTAGGCTAGGGTGCTAGCAATATGAGAGACACATCTGGAAGATAAATGAGCCATCCCTGCCTAAGCCATCTCATACCAGCAAGTACCAGCAAGCCTCTAGCCATCCTGCTAGCTGAATGCAGACGTGAGAGGTGTAGGGCCCCATAAAACCCCAAAGGAGACATTCCCTAAAACATGGCGCCTTTCCGGCTTCTCTTCCGGGTCCTAACATTCCCGCCGGCGCCAAAGTATGGCCTATCAAAATCATCACCTGCCCTTCTGACCAATCAGCCACCGCCCAGCGTACTAACCACCCTCTCCCGGAACTCATCTCTCTATAAATGTACGCTTCACCCTCAAATAAAGTGGAACTTCTCTGGTGAACTGTCAGCTCGGGTCCTGTCGTTCTTTCAAGAGGCCTCTGCCAAGATCTCATCCTCCTCATGAGAAAAAATAAATGGCTGTTGTTTTATCAGCATTACACTCTAACCAACTGAGCTAAACAGTCAGCTGTATGGCTGTTGTTTTAAACCATTAAATTTGGGAGTGGTTTGTTATATACAGCATTCACTTACTTATTAGGGTAATTGCTAAGAAAATGGAGATATAGAATAGTTTCTGCCTCATGAGGCTCAACATCCAGTGAAGAGACAACTGAGTAAACACTTTCAAAACACTGAGATAAGTTGCAATGGGAGACAAAAAGTGTTTAACTGAAACAGTGACAGCCACAGAAGGCTTCTGGAGGAGCCTATATCTGAATAAAATTTCATATTTAGGATGTGCAGGTATTTGATCAAGAGAGGAGGGGGCATTTCAGGTGGAATTGTGTATTCCAGCAACTATACATAGCTTAATATGACTAAAACAGAGGGGGTGACTATAAGAGACAGGACTAGAGAGGGAGGCAGTCTTATGATAATATTTATCACTAAGGAGTTTGGAAACTATCCTAAAAGCAGTGAAGGGGAACCACTGGAAAGAATCAGGGAATAATACAATAATTTTATTTATGGAAGACCAGTCTTGATGCGGTGTGGAGAAAGGGCCACAAGGGAGCCACGTTGGAGTTAGAGACACCAGTATACATTTCTGAGTAAAACAGACGAGTACCTGAAACAACTTCTCCACCTGTTAGCTATAAGTCCTTGACAAGTTTCTCAACCTCTCTGAGCCTCAATTTCCTTAAACAGAAAGAGGGGGACAGTAATATTTACATGTCAGGATTACTCTGAGGATTAAGAGATAATGTATATAGCATGCTTAGTACAGGACCTGTCACAAGGTAGCTGCTTCATAAATAGTCATTACTGTGAGCTGAACTATGAGCTGCTCAAGATCTGCTGACAGTCTCATTCTATTTTATACAGGTCCCAAAGCCCAGCTCTAGAAATGATTCCCAGGAGCCTCAATATAAGTTTGTTGAATAAATAAAAATAAACACATGTCAGAGACATGCAAAATCAATACTAAGTCCATTTTAATTCAAACCAGGACTTTGGGCTGGTTGGTTAGCTCAGTTGGTTACAGCACTGCCTTGTAACACCAAGGTCAAGGGTTCTGTTCCCCGTGCAGGCCAGGTACCAAAAAACAAAAACAAAAAACCTACAAACACCAGGACTTTGCTGGAGTGATCCTTTCAGGTTAAAAGGCTTTTTAGAGCACGGCCTTATAATGCCAAGGTCACTGGTTCAGATCCCAATACCGACCAGGAGCAAAAAAAAAAAAAGAATTAAAGGCTTTACTTAATTGGCAGGACAGTCTCCACCTAGCTTAAAGAGATAAATAGATAAAAACATGACACAGAAATATCAATTTTATAAATTCCTATGAAACAAAGAAATAGTGTGTTTGCACATTTTCTAACTATATGATGTGGTGAAAAGTAATGTTTTTTATTCAAACCCATAGTTAACACATTGCATATTTGCAAAGCAAAATTTAAATGTCCTACACTCAAGGGCCGGCCCGTGGCTCACTCGGGAGAGTGCGGTGCTGATAACACCAAGGCCCCGGGTTCGGATCCCACATAGGGATGGCCGGTTCGCTCACTGGCTGAGCGTGGTGCTGACAACACCAAGCCAAGGGTTAAGATCCCCTTACCGGTCATCTTTAAAAAAAAAAAAAAAAAAAAATGTCCTACTCAAGCCTTGTTTGAAATAATGAAATCTCACCTTTAAGAAGAAGGGCATAAAGGAGAGTTTAATTCCACGAGCAAAAGCAATGGGTTTCAATTCTTCTCGTAGCTTAACCAGTTCAGTAAGGTCAACTTCATCACAATAACCAAAGTGAGGTATCTTCAGGGCTGCAGACATGGTCTTGACCATTGCTTTTTGAAAGCCTGGAAAACATTCAATTGTTACTTACTTAAATTCTTAAATCTTTTACTCTTTTTCTTTTTTCTTTTTTTTAACAAAAATAGAAGGTTCTCTAATGACCTTCACTCTCGAAGTTAAACTCTTCGTCTCCCTACTATCTTCATTACGTTACATTGAAAGCCACTAAAGCACAATACACAGTAGCAAGTGTGATTAACACAGCAGGTAATTGCTTTAAGTACTGGGGTGTCGGAAAAATTCAAAATGATGCAAGCCATATATTTATGTGATGGCTGTCTTGCAAAGGCACTCTTCTGGAAGTTAATCATCCTAAGAGTTTATAATTCCTTTCTTTTCTTTTTTTTTTTTTTTTTTTGCTGGCTGGTACAGGGACTGAACCTCGGACCTCAGTCTTAACAGCACCATGCTCTAACCAACTGATCTAACCAGTGAGCTCCTAAGAGTTTTTAACTAACTCAGAACTAGTTATTTTGAAAGCCAGATAAAAGTGTGAATGTTTAAAATAGTCACTTCTGCTTGGTCTTCAAACAGAACAATTATCAGTATGCAAGTTTATATTCTAAGAAACCTGCTAACGTGTTACTCTTCAGATATTAACAGTACAAGGCCGGCCTGTGGCTCACTTGGGAGAGTGTGATGATGACGACGCCAAGACCACGGGTTCGGATCCCTATACAGGGATGGCCGGTTCGCTCACTGTATGAGTGTAGTGCTGACAACACCAAGTCAAGGGTTAAGATCCCCTTACTGGTCAAAAAAAAAAAAAAAGAAATTAACAGTACATATAAATTGAAGTGTTTCCTGGAAAAACTACGTTATTTCATCATTAAAAAGATTATATTCTGAATCAGAAATTTCTCATTAGTAAGAACTGAAAACACCATATTATATCCATGCATCTATTGAAGTAGCTTCCCCCAAAATAAATGTATTATTGCCTTACATTATTGTTATTATTACCTTTTACAGGTTCTGTCTTGTCTTTGCCTGTGAATACCAGAGGTTTTGATATAGGTATGGGAATAGTCCTATCTTTTGGCTTTGGTGGAGGTGGCACAATTTCAGCTTTTGGTGAAGGAGGTAATATAGCTCCTGTTTGCTTTTCCAAATAGTTGAGAATGTCTTCTTTAAGTATTCTGCCATCTTTTCCTGAGCCAACAACTTCACTCAGCTTAATCTAAAAAATGACACATTTTAATGTTAAAAATACAGCTACTTAAAAATAAATAAATCCATCAAACGTTTCAAAATGGAATTTAATCAATGACATTAAAAATACATCTCTGCGGGGCCGGCCCGTGGCTCACTCGGGAGAGTGCGGTGCTGATAACACCAAGGCCACGGG